CCACACAACCAACCACCACTGTACCACCACAACCAAGCACCACTGGACCACCACAATCCCTACTGGACCACAGCACCAACCACCACTGGACCACACCGCCAACCACCACTGGACCACACAACCAACCACCACTGGACCACCACAACCAACCACCACTGGACCACACAACCAACCACCACTGCACCACCAGAACCAACCACAACTGGACCACCACAACCAGCCACCACTGGACCACAGCACCAACCACCACTGGACCACACCGCCAACCACCACTGGACCACACAACCAACCACCACTGGACCACACCACCAACCACCACTGGACCACACAACCAACCACCACTGGACCACACCACCAACCACCACTGGACCACCACAACCAACCACCACTGGACCACCACAACCAACCACCACTGGACCACCACAACCAACCACCACTGGACCACCACAACCAACCACCACTGGACCACCACAACCAACCACCACTGGACCACCGCAACCAACCACCACTGGACCACCACAACCAACCACCACTGGACCACCACAACCAACCACCACTGGACCACACAACCAACCACCACTGGACCACACCACCAACCACCCCTGGATCACCACAACCACCACTGGACCACCACAACCACCACTGGACCACCACAACCACCACTGGACCACCACAACCACCACTGGACGACCACAACCACCACAACCACCACTGAACTACCACAACCATCACTGGACCACCACAACCACCACTAGACCACCACAACCACCACTAGACCACCACAACCACCACTGGACCACCACAACCAACCACTGGACCCCCATCAACCACCACTGGACCACCACAACCACCACTGGACCACCACAACCACCACTGGACCACCACAACCACCACTGGACCACCACAACCACCACTGGACCACCACAACCACCACTGGACCACCACAACCACCACTGGACCACCACAACCACCACTGGACCACCACAACCACCACTGGACCACCACAACCACCATTAGACCACCACAACCACCACTGGACCACCACAACCACCACTGGACCACCACAACCACCACTGGACCACCACAACCACCACTGGACCACCACAACCACCACAATCAACCACCCTGACGTCCCACATCCGCGGCTGGCCGTGTACGAAGCTGGCTACCTCGCCACAAGCACACAAGGTCATCTCACAGTTCAATAATATCCTCTACTCCACCGATAAAAAAAATCCCCAATTAAAAAAAAAACAAATTAATCCTCTTGATACGAGGAATATATATATAATTAAATGGAGTAAATCCTAAATAATTAATTTTCGTATTAATTATGCAAATCAACCTTCATCAAATTACGGAGTTATTGACGAATTTGTTATAATTAATGACGTCATATTAAGTTAGTGAAATGCCAAGTCAAACAAGTTAGTAGGTTGTTAAGGGGCGAATTGGGTTGTTTAGCTGTGCTTGCTGGAGCCATGAGGCGCGGCGGCCATTTTGTTATCCTGTCGGGCGTGGGACGGCACCCGACGACTAATGGAACAGGAGAAGCTGGGACAGGGAGAATATGGGACGGGGAGAGGATAGGAGAGCACAAAATGTGTAACATTGCGGGTCTGAGTTCAATATGGGACAGGGACTCTATGGGACAGGCTGTTGGTCATTTGAGAATATGGAACAGGGACTCTATGGGAAGGGTATGGAAGAGAATAAGCAACATGGCAGTCTGGAACAGAGAACAAGGGATGTACAGCATGAGACGGAGTATGGAACAGGAGACACGTGGAACAGGAGACACGTGGAACAGGAGACACGTGGAACAGGAGACACGTGGAACAGGAGACACGTGGAACAGGAATACTGAGACAAAGCTTATATATGGAACAGATATCCTTTATAGCACACTGACTTCCTTGAACTTTTCTGGTAAGTGATGATATCACGGTGCTGGGGAGGGAGGCATGATAGGTGGGGAGGGAGGCATGATCGGTGGGGAGGGAGGCATGATAGGTGGGGAGGGAGGCATGATAGGTGGGGAGGGAGGGAGGCATGATAGGTGCGGGAGGGAGGCATGATAGGTGCGGGAGGGAGGCATGATAGGTGGGGGAGGGAGGCATGATAGGGGGGGAGGGAGGGAGGCATGATAGGGGGGGAGGGAGGCATGATAGGTGGGGGAGGGAGGCATGATAGGGAGGGAGGCATGATTGGTAGGGGAGGGAGGCATGATAGGAGGGAGGCATGATAGGAGGCATGATAGGGAGGGAGGCATGATAGGGAGGGAGGGAGGCATGATAGGTGAGGAGGGAGGCATGATAGGTGAGGAGGGAGGCATGATAGGTGAGGAGGGAGGCATGATAGGTGGGGAGGGAGGCATGATAGGGAGGGAGGCATGATAGGTGGGGAGGGAGGCATGATAGGTGGGGAGGGAGGCATGATAGGTGAGGAGGGAGGCATGATAGGTGAGGAGGGAGGCATGATAGGTGAGGAGGGAGGCATGATAGGTGGGGAGGGAGGCATGATAGGTGGGGAGGGAGGCATGATAGGTGAGGAGGGAGGCATGATAGGTGGGGAGGGAGGCATGATAGGTGAGGAGGGAGGCATGATAGGTGGGGAGGGAGGCATGATAGGTGAGGAGGGAGGCATGATAGGTGGGGAGGGAGGCATGATAGGTGAGGAGGGAGGCATGATAGGTGGGGAGGGAGGCATGATAGGTGAGGAGGGAGGCATGATAGGTGGGGAGGGAGGCATGATAAGTAGGGAGGGAGGCATGATAGATGGGGAGGGAGGCATGATAGGTGGGGAGGGAGGCATGATAGGTGGGGAGGGAGGGAGGCATGATAGGTGGGGAGGGAGGCATGATAGGTGGGGAGGGAGGCATGATAGGTGGGGAGGGAGGCATGATAGGTGAGGAGGGAGGCATGATAGGTGAGGAGGGAGGCATGATAGGTGGGGAGGGAGGCATGATAGGTGGGGAGGGAGGCATGATAGGTGGGGAGGGAGGCATGATAGGTGGGGAGGGAGGCATGATAGGTGGGGAGGGAGGCATGATAGGTAGGGAGGGAGGCATGATTGGAAGGGAGGCATGATAGGTGGGGGAGGGAGGCATAATAGGTGGGGAGGAAGGCATGATAGGGAGGGAGGGAGGCATGATAGGGAGGGAGGGAGGCATGATAGGTGGGGAGGGAGGCATGATAGTGACCAGGCAGGGGAAGAAAGGGTCCCGGAATCTTCGGACTTCCGCTGAGGGACAAGTCATGATTGGTGTAATTACTGGAACATCTGGTGTGTGAGTCCTCGCTCCACAGTACTGTGTACTGAGCCTCCCTCCACAGTACTGTGTATTGAGCCTCCCTCCACAGTACTGTGTACTGGTGCCTCCCTCCACAGTACTGTGTATTGAGCCTCCCTCCACAGTACTGTGTACTGAGCCTCCCTCCACAGTACTGTGTATTGAGCCTCCCTCCACAGTACTGTGTACTGGTGCCTCCCTCCACAGTACTGTGTATTGAGCCTCCCTCCACAGTACTGTGTACTGGAGCCTCCCTCTACAGTACTGTGTACTGGAGCCTCCCTCCACAGTACTGTGTACTGGAGACTCCCTCCACAGTACTGTGTACTGGAGCCTCCCTCCACAGTACTGTGTACTGGAGACTCCCTCCACAGTACTGTGTACTGGAGCCTCCCTCCACAGTACTGTGTACTGGAGACTCCCTCCACAGTACTGTGTACTGGAGCCTCCCTCCACAGTACTGTGTACTGGTGCCTCCCTCCACAGTACTGTGTATTGAGCCTCCCTCCACAGTACTGTGTATTGAGCCTCCCTCCACAGTACTGTGTATTGAGCCTCCCTCCACAGTACTGTGTACTGGAGCCTCCCTCCACAGTACTGTGTACTGGAGCCTCCCTCCACAGTACTGTGTACTGGAGCCTCCCTCCACAGTACTGTGTACTGGAGCCTCCCTCCACAGTACTGTGTACTGGAGCCTCCCTCCACAGTACTGTGTACTGGAGCCTCCCTCCACAGTACTGTGTACTGGAGACTCCCTCCACAGTACTGTGTACTGGAGCCTCCCTCCACAGTACTGTGTACTGGAGCCTCCCTCCACAGTACTGTGTACTGGAGCCTCCCTCCACAGTACTGTGTACTGGAGCCTCCCTCCACAGTACTGTGTACTGGAGCCTCCCTCCACAGTACTGTGTACTGGAGCCTCCCTCCACAGTACTGTGTACTGGAGCCTCCCTCCACAGTACTGTGTACTGGAGCCTCCCTCCACAGTACTGTGTACTGGAGCCTCCCTCCACAGTACTGTGTACTGGAGCCTCCCTCCACAGTACTGTGTACTGGAGCCTCCCTCCACAGTACTGTGTACTGGAGCCTCCCACCACAGTACTGTGTACTGGAGCCTTGTTAGATTACACATTACACTACGTAAGTCTCTTATCGTCCCTCGTGGGTTAGCATTATGATCACACATGTTCATATATGTGTTCATCACACATGTTCATCCGGTAGATCGTTTATGTTGATGAAGAACATTACTAGTGCAAGAACTGAACCTTTTGGGCCTAGTAACTCTCCCCAAGTCATTGCTTCTATTTACCGGCCCCATTTTCCTGTCGGCAAAAAAATTCATCCTAAATTTTTATCTCATTTCCATTACAAATTTTCAATGGAATCAACTTCAGCTAAAATCTATGTCTCTCCTGTTGTGCTTATTAACAGCTCCACTTAAAATAGTTCTTCCTGACGTATCATTTATGTCGACTCTGCTTTGTCTATTTGTCAATTTCCTTTAGAATCTTGTATGTTGTTACCATGTCCCCTCTATCTGTCCTTCAGCGAGGTAAGGTCCAGTTCTCTATCTTTCATTCATAGCTCGGTCTCTTCGGCTCAGGAACGAGTCTCGTTGCATATCTGGACCTTGTCTAGTTTCTTGTTACTTTTCAGGTCCGGGTTCCATGCCGGGGACACGTATTCAAACAAAAAATGGTCTTACATTTGGTGTATATAAGGCCCAAAGGAAAGCTCCTTTGTGCACGTCTGTGAAGGATACGTGGACAATGGCCTGCATGCCGTGTGCAGATGTTAGTCTGCTAATGTGGGCTTCTGGCATCAGATTTGTTATATCGTCTCCCAGCTCTTTCTCCTCTTGTGATTCAAGCATCTGCCTTCCCTTTATCCTATACTGCTGTAGTGATCTTCGCACTCCTCTTTCAATCCTCATAGCTTTGCATTTGACCGGGTTAAATTCTAGAAGCCATTTTTCATACCACTTGTGGAATATGTCCAAATTCGTTTGTAATGTATCACAATCAGCAAAGACTGATATGACGGAGCCAATTTCCGGTGTCAGGTCATTGACATAGAAAGAGGATGGGCTCTAGAACCACCCCTTGTGGTACTCCACCCGTAACCTCTGTGATGTCTCTGTTCTCACTGTAACCCTCTGCTTCCTTCCTGAGAGGTACTCTCTCACCCACAAGCCTGCTTGTATAGTTTAAACAGGAGCCGCTCGTGGCAGACCGTATCGAATGCCTTCTGACAGTCGAGGAATATGCATTCTCCCCATCCCTCTCTCTCTCTTATGATTTCTGTCATCTTATGTGTGTGTGCGCGCGCGCATACGAGTACTCAATGCAGACCTCGTATTGCAAGTTGAAGGAAGAGAATATGAATTAGCGGGTTGTAGTGAGGAGTGAATCAGGGCCTCAGAGTTGCATGCTGAGGGAGGAGATCACCCAACATACAGGAAATACCTCTGGTATACTCGCCTTGAATATATATTGCTGAATGGCGAAAAATATACTAAAATATAATACAATGTTTGGTGGAGTTGCTCAAGGGATCTCTAAATGTTTACGACCGTATACCGTCACTGGTTGGTCGACCCGACGGCTTGGTCGACCCGATGGCTTGGTCGACCCGATGGCCTGGACGACCTGATGGCTTGGTCGACCCGATGGCTTGGTCGACCCGATGGCTTGGTCGACCCGATGGCTTGGTCGACCCGATGGCCTGGTCGACCCGAAGGCTTGGTCGACCCGACGGCCTGGTCGACCCGACGGCCTGGTCGACACGATGTCCTGGTCGACACGACGGCTTGGTCGACCCACCCCTGTCCCAGAAACACCACTCCCTAGGACCCTCACACTCACTAGGACCCTCACACTCCCTAGGACCCTCACACTCACTAAGATCCTCACACTCACTAGGACCCTCACTAAGATCCTCACACTCACTAGGACCCTCACTAAGATCCTCACACTCACTAGGACCCTCACTAAGATCCTCACACTCACTAGGACCCTCACTAAGATCCTCACACTCACTAGGACCCTCACTAAGATCCTCACACTCACTAGGACCCTCACACTCACTAGGACCCTCACTAAGATCCTCACACTCACTAGGACCCTCACTAAGATCCTCACACTCCCTAGGACCCTCACACTCACTAGGACCCTCACACTCCCTAGGACCCTCACACTCACTAGGACCCTCACACTCACTAGGACCCTCACACTCCCTAGGACCCTCACACTCACTAGGACCCTCACACTCATTAGGACCCACACACTCACTAGGACCCTCACACTCACTAGGACCCTCACACTCACTAGGACCCTCACACTCACTAGGACCCTCACACTCACTAGGACCCTCACACTCACTAGGACCCTCACACTCACTAGGACCCTCACACTCACTAGGACCCTCACACTCACTAGGACCCTCACACTCACTAGGACCCACACACTCACTAGGACCCTCACACTCACTAGGACCCTCACACTCACTAGGACCCTCACACTCACTAGGACCCTCACACTCACTAGGACCCTCACACTCACTAGGACCCTCACACTCACTAGGACCCTCACACTCACTAGGACCCTCACACTCCCTAGGACCCTCACACTCCCTAGGACCCTCACACTCCCTAGGACCCTCACACTCACTAGGACCCTCACACTCACTAGGACCCTCACACTCCCTAGGACCCTCACACTCATTAGGACCCTCACACTCACTAGGACCCTCACACTCACTAGGACCCTCACACTCACTAGGACCCTCACACTCACTAGGACCCTCACACTCACTAGGACCCACACACTCACTAGGACCCTCACACTCACTAGGACCCTCACACTCCCTAGGACCCTCACACTCCCTAGGACCCTCACACTCCCTAGGACCCTCACACTCACTTGGACCCTCACACTCCTTAGGACCCTCACACTCACTAGGACCCTCACACTCACTAGGACCCTCACACTCACTAGGACCCTCACACTCACTATTACCCTCACACTCCCTAGGACCCTCACACTCACTAGGACCCTCACACTCACTAGGACCCTCACACTCACTAGGACCCTCACACTCCTTAGGACCCTCACACTCACTAGGACCCTCACACTCACTAGGACCCTCACACTCACTAGGACCCTCACACTCACTAGGACCCTCACACTCACTAGGACCCTCACTAGGACCCTCACACTCACTAGGACCCTCACACTCCTTAGGACCCTCACACTCACTAGGACCCTCACACTCACTAGGACCCTCACACTCACTAGGACCCACACACTCACTAGGACCCTCACACTCACTAGGACCCTCACACTCACTAGGACCCACACACTCACTAGGACCCTCACACTCACTAGGACCCACACACTCACTAGGACCCTCACACTCCCTAGGACCCTTACACTCACTAGGACCCTCACACTCACTAGGACCCTTACACTCACTAGGACCCTCACACTCCTTAGGACCCACTCTGCCTCCATGTTATGATAGCAGGCGGACTGACCGCCTCGCTGACACCACGTGTGAGTTATGATAGCAGGCGGACTGACCGCCTCGCTGACACCACGTGTGAGTTATGATAGCAGGCGGACTGACCGCCTCGCTGACATCACGTGTGAGTTATGATAGCAGGCGGACTGACCGCCTCGCTGACACCACGTGTAAGTTATGATAGCAGGCGGACTGACCGCCTCGCTGACACCACGTGTGAGTTATGATAGCAGGCGGACTGACCGCCTCGCTGACACCACGTGTGAGTTATGATAGCAGGCGGACTGACCGCCTCGCTGACACCACGTGTGAGTTATGATAGCAGGCGGACTGACCGCCTCGCTGACACCACGTGTGAGTTATGATAGCAGGCGGACTGTCCGCCTCGCTGACACCACGTGTGAGTTATGATAGCAGGCGGACTGACCGCCTCGCTGACACCACGTGTGAGTTATGATAGCAGGCGGACTGTCCGCCTCGCTGACACCACGTGAGAGTTATGATAGCAGGCGGACTGTCCGCCTCGCTGACACCACGTGAGAGTTATGATAGCAGGCGGACTGACCGCCTCGCTGACACCACGTGTGAGTTATGATAGCAGGCGGACTGCTTTTGCCAGCGAGCCGTACATATTGATACAGTTGTACATATGCATTTAAGCACATATGTATCCACACATGAATGGTATAGAGTATATACACTCAATGGGTGCACGTACTCACGTAATTGTTCTCATCTAATTGTGCTTACGGGGGTTGAGCTCTGGCTCTCTGGTCCCGATGTTCCGTTGAAGGGAGTTTGTGTGTGTGTGGGGGGGGGGGGGGTTATGTAATTATCTCGGAATTATGTATTGTGGGGCATGAGGAGATCTTAGCTCTTGGGCCCCCACACCACACACCTGCCACTGGACCTCAGCACACACCTGCCACCCACCACACACCTGCCCACATCGGTAACAAGACCCACAGCTGCAGCGTGACTTAGACAAGCTACAATAAGGTAGGACCAACTTTGTCCACTACCCCAGCATACCCCACACCACCCACAACAGTGGCACTGACCACCAGGCACGGACGCCCCATTCTGCAAGAATGCACGTGCATTCCCTATGCATGGCCTGCCAGTCTTGGAAAATCATGCACAGCCCCCTAATGCAACATTATTGCAATGAAACCCAAACCGTCGTAGAGGGTGTGTCAAGTTTAGTTCATACGGGTAGAGAGGGTGTGGCGGCGGGTGTAGGGCGGGTGTATATGGGGCAGACACTTGTGGGTGTTGTCATACACTCGGGTGTAGTGGTGTAGGAGCATGGAGGCGCACCAATGGGAGGTGAGGAGCGGTTGTGGGGGTGTTCGGACGCAGCCGCCTGTACCCGGTGCCCTCTCTTCCTCATGCACGTCCTCGGCGTCGCCACATACTCATGCACGCCTTCACATTTTGGTCATGCATCACGCCTCTAAGTCATTCTCGTGACCTGATTGCATGGGTGCATAGTTGGGTTGCATATTGCCATGCAGGGAGGGCGTCGGGGGAGGTGTGGTGGCGGCGGGTAATAATTTGCACGTGTATGCATGGCAACTGTGGAAGGTGCATGCAAGCCACGCTATGCACGGGGTTGCCAGACGCCGCCTGGCGGCCTCACAGTGAGGGACACGGCGGCGTTCCTTGGCCCCGGAGACCGTGTCAACGACCCTCACAGCCACGGCTCGTTTTTATCCTCTACGTAACGAATCTCTAACTACTCGCTCTTAATTTATGGGGAAAGTCCAGTTTGAAAGCAAATTCTTGGAAAGCGTGCATGAGTGCTCGACCGTCATTGGCGGAAGGCAGGTCAGCCCCGCCCACTCGCATGATGAGCGGCCGCCAGCAGCCAATCGCAGCGGCGCTCACCGCACCGCCGACCAATCAGGAGCACCAGTGCATGCAATATTTCTTGCCAACGGTTCTCATGCATAAGGCTGGACCAATGGGATGATGGGATGCAAGATGCAGACGGGCCGCGCCGTGTATGCGTGTACACTATATATGTGATCCGTGGCGTGGCGGGCTCGGGGAGTCAGGGAGGGACATGACGCGGCGGCTCCCAGCATGGCGGCGGCCAGCCACCCTCTACTGCCGCCTCCTCCTCCCTCACCACACTCACGCTTCCATACCTGTTGCCACACCTGCTTCCACCGCTCACTCTTCCATACCTGGTCCCACCAGTCACTGTTCCATACCTGTTGCCACACCTGCTCCAACCGGTCATTGTTGCCTCACCTCCTCCCATCGGTCGTTGTTCCATACCTGCTCCCACCGGTCACTCTTCCATACCTGTTACCACACCTGCTTCCTTCCACTGGTCATTGTTCCATACCTGTTGCCACACCAGCTCCCACCGCTCATTGTTCCATACCTGTTGCCACACCTGCTTCCACCGCTCATTGTTCCATACCTGTCACCACCAGTCACTGTTCCATACCTGTTGCCACACCTGCTCCCAGCGCTCATTGTTCCATACCTGTTGCCACACCTGCCTCCTCCCACCGGTCATTGTTCCATACCTCTTACCACCAGTCATTGTTCCATATCTGTTACCACACCTGCTCCCACCGGTCATTGTTCCATACCTGTTACCACACCTGCTCCCACCGGTCATTCTTCCATACCTGTTACCACACCTGCTCCCACCGCTCACACTTCCATACCTGTTACCACACCTGCTCCCACCAGTCATTCTTCCATACCTGTTACCACACCTGCTCCCACCGCTCACACTTCCATACCTGTTACCACACCTGCTCCCACCGCTCACACTTCCATACCTGTTACCACACCTGCTCCCACCAGTCACTGTTCCATACCTGTTGCCACACATGCTCCCACCGCTCACTCTTCCATACCTGTTACCACACCTGCTCCCACCGGTCACTGTTCCATACCTGTTACCACACCTGCACCCACCGGTCACTGTTCCATACCTGTTACCACACCTACTCCCACCAGTTCCACACCTGCCTCACCTGACGCAGACGCTGCCTCACCTGACGCAGGCGCTGCCTCACCTGACGCAGGCGCTGCCTCACCTGACGCAGGCGCTGCCTCACCTGACGCAGGCGCTGCCTCACCTGACGCAGGCGCTGCCTCACCTGACGCAGGCACTGCCTCACCTGACGCAGACGCTGCCTCACCTGACGCAGACGCTGCCTCACCTGACGCAGACGCTGCCTCACCTGACGCAGACGCTGCCTCACCTGACGCAGACGCTGCCTCACCTGACGCAGACGCTGCCTCACCTGACGCAGACGCTGCCTCACCTGACGCAGACGCTGCCTCACCTGACGCAGACGCTGCCTCACCTGACGCAGACGCTGCCTCACCTGACGCAGACGCTGCCTCACCTGACGCAGACGCTGCCTCACCTGACGCAGACGCTGCCTCACCTGACGCAGACGCTGCCTCACCTGACGCAGGCGCTGCCTCACCTGACGCAGGAGCTGCCTCACCTGACGCAGACGCTGCCTCACCTGACGCAGACGCTGCCTCACCTGACGCAGGCGCTGCCTCACCTGACGCAGGCGCTGCCTCACCTGACGCAGACGCTGCCTCACCTGACGCAGACGCTGCCTCACCTGACGCAGGCGCTGCCTCACCTGACGCAGGCGCTGCCTCACCTGACGCAGGCGCTGCCTCACCTGACGCAGGCGCTGCCTCACCTGACGCAGGAGCTGCCTCACCTGACGCAGACGCTGCCTCACCTGACGCAGGCGCTGCCTCACCTGACGCAGACGCTGCCTCACCTGACGCAGGCGCTGCCTCACCTGACGCAGACGCTGTGAGTGGTGAGGAGGACAAGAGAGGGAGAGTGAGCGAGGCAGCGACCTCTGGTACACTGCGGTCAGTACCTCTCACACACTGCCCTACACCCAACCCTCACTTCTCAGAACACCTTGACTGAAGCTCCACTCAAAGGCTTTGCTTGCCTGCTTGACAGACTGTCAAGCCTGTCACGTGGCTTGCCTGACAGTCCGGTCACAGCCAAGAGGTCCCTCGTTCGATTCCCGGGCTGTGGGTGACGTTTTGACGGAGTGTTCAAGTATGTCAGGAGTATGCTGAGAGTGTTCAGGTGGGCCAGGAGTATGCTGGGGAGTGTTCAGGTGGGCCAGGAGTATGCTGGGAGTGTTCAGGTGGGCCAGGAGTATGCTGGGAGTGTTCAGGTGGGCCAGGAGTATGCTGGGGAGTGTTCAGGTGGGCCAGGAGTATGCTGGGAGTGTTCAGGTGGGCCAGGAGTATGCTGGGAGTGTTCAGGTGGGTCAGGAGTATGCTGAGAGTGTTCAGGTGGGCCAGGAGTATGCTGGGGAGTGTTCAGGTGGGCCAGGAGTATGCTGGGAGTGTTCAGGTGGGCCAGGAGTATGCTGGGAGTGTTCAGGTGGGTCAGGAGTATGCTGAGAATGTTCAGGTGGGCCAGGAGTATGCTGAGTGTTCAGGTGGGTCAGGAGTATGCTGAGAGTGTTCAGGTGGGCCAGGAGTATGCTGAGAGTGTTCAGGTGGGCCAGGAGTATGCTGAGAGTGTTCAGGTGGGCCAGGAGTATGCTGAGAGTGTTCAGGTGGGTCAGGAGTATGCTGAGAGTGTTCAGGTGGGCCAGGAGTATGCTGAGAGTGTTCAGGTGGGTCAGGAGTATGCTGAGAGTGTTCAGGTGGGTCAGGAGTATGCTGAGAGTGTTCAGGTGGGCCAGGAGTATGCTGAGAGTGTTCAGGTGGGCCAGGAGTATGCTGAGAGTGTTCAGGTGGGCCAGGAGTATGCTGAGAGTGTTCAGGTGGGTCAGGAGTATGCTGAGTGTTCAGGTGGGCCAGGAGTATGCTGAGAGTGTTCAGGTGGGTCAGGAGTATGCTGAGAGTGTTCAGGTGGGCCAGGAGTATGCTGAGAGTGTTCAGGTGGGCCAGGAGTATGCTGAGAGTGTTCAGGTGGGTCAGGAGTATGCTGGGAGTGTTCAGGTGGGCCAGGAGTATGCTGAGAGTGTTCAGGTGGGTCAGGAGTATGCTGAGAGTGTTCATGTGGGTCAGGAGTATGCTGAGAGTGTTCAGGTGGGTCAGGAGTATGCTGAGAGTGTTCAGGTGGGTCAGGAGTATCTGGGAGTGTTCAGGTGGGCCAGGAGTATGCTGAGAGTGTTCAGGTGGGTCAGGAGTATGCTGAGAGTGTTCAGGTGGGTCAGGAGTATGCTGAGAGTGTTCAGGTGGGTCAGGAGTATGCTGGGGAGTGTTCAGGTGGGCCAGGAGTATGCTGGGGAGTGTTCAGGTGGGCCAGGAGTATGCTGAGAGTGTTCAGGTGGGCCAGGAGTATGCTGAGAGTGTTCAGGTGAGCCAGGAGTATGCTGAGAGTGTTCAGGTGGGCCAGGAGTATGCTGGGGAGTGTTCAGGTGGGTCAGGAGTATGCTGGGGAGTGTTCAGGTGGGCCAGGAGTATGCTGAGTGTTCAGGTGGGTCAGGAGTATGCTGAGAGTGTTCAGGTGGGCCAGGAGTATGCTGAGTGTTCAGGTGGGCCAGGAGTATGCTGAGAGTGTTCAGGTGGGTCAGGAGTATGCTGGGGAGTGTTCAGATGGGTCAGGAGTATGCTGAGAGTGTTCAGGTGGGCCAGGAGTATGCTGAGAGTGTTCAGGTGGGCCAGGAGTATGCTGAGAGTTTTCAAGTGGGCCAGGAGTATGCTGGGGAGTGTTCAGGTGGGCCAGGAGTATGCTGGGGAGTGTTCAGGTGGGCCAGGAGTATGCTGGGGAGTGTTCAGGTGGGTCAGGAGTATGCTGGGGAGTGTTCAGGTGGGCCAGGAGTATGCTGAGAGTGTTCAGGTGGGTCAGGAGTATGCTGAGAGTGTTCAGGTGGGCCAGGAGTATGCTGAGAGTGTTCAGGTGGGCCAGGAGTATGCTGAGTGTTCAGGTGGGTCAGGAGTATGCTGGGGAGTGTTCAGGTGGGCCAGGAGTATGCTGAGAGTGTTCAGGTGGGCCAGGAGTATGCTGAGAGTGTTCAGGTGGGCCAGGAGTATGCTGAGAGTGTTCAGGTGGGCCAGGAGTATGCTGAGAGTGTTCAGGTGGGCCAGGAGTATGCTGGGGAGTGTTCAGGTGGGCCAGGAGTATGCTGGGGAGTGTTCAGGTGGGCCAGGAGTATGCTGAGAGTGTTCAGGTGGGCCAGGAGTATGCTGGGAGTGTTCAGGTGGGCCAGGAGTATGCTGGGAGTGTTCAGGTGGGCCAGGAGTATGCTGGGAGTGTTCAGGTGGGCCAGGAGTATGCTGGGAGTGTTCAGGTGGGCCAGGAGTATGCTGGGAGTGTTCAGGTGGGCCAGGAGTATGCTGGGAGTGTTCAGGTGGGCCAGGAGTATGCTGGGAGTGTTCAGGTGGGCCAGGAGTATGCTGGGAGTGTTCAGGTGGGTCAGGAAATGCTTTAAGACAAGAGCAACGTCCTTCCCATGTCCTCTCTTCCCCCCTACTCCTCCCCTCCTCCTTACCCCTCCTCCTTCTTCCCCCTCCTCCTCCTCCCCCTCCTCCTTCCCCCTACTCCCTCCCCTCCTCCTTCCCCCTCCTCCTTCCCCCTACTCCCTCCCCCCCCACCACCAGGCCAGCTATACTGGCCTACAGGATGCCAACCAAAACAGTTGCCTAAACCCCAGGTATCTATTTTACTCTTGAGGTGAACAGACGCATCAGGTGAAAGGAAACATGAACCAACATCCCTTGTCCCGCACGAGAATCGAACCCCGGTTCCCCCAGTTTGGGAGTCGGTAAGTCTACCGATATTCTGTGCGTGGCTGAGTTAGACAGGTGTTGAACAGGTGTATATTATTATACCTGCAATATAAATGTGTGGTTTAAGCACGTGTTGCTCAACACCTGTCAGCAAAGATAGATGTACCAACATGGTACAGCTGTGTGTGTGTGTACCACCAACATGGTACAGCTGTGTGTGTGTACCACCAACATGGTACAGCTGTGTGTGTGTACCACCAACATGGTACAGCTGTGTGTGTGTGTACCACCAACATGGTACAGCTGTGTGTGTGTGTACCACCAACATGGTACAGCTGTGTGTGTGTGTACCACCAACATGGTACAGCTGTGTGTGTGTGTACCACCAACATGGTACAGCTGTGTGTGTGTACCACCAACACGGTACAGCTGTGTGTGTGTACCACCAACATGGTACAGCTGTGTGTGTGTGTACCACCAACATGGTACAGCTGTGTGTGTGTGTGTACCACCAACATGGTACAGCTGTGTGTGTGTACCACCAACATGGTACAGCTGTGTGTGTGTGTACCACCAACATGGTACAGCTGTGTGTGTGTGTGTACCACCAACATGGTACAGCTGTGTGTGTGTGTACCACCAACATGGTACAGCTGTGTGTGTGTACCACCAACATGGTACAGCTGTGTGTGTGTGTACCACCAACATGGTACAGCTGTGTGTGTGTGTACCACCAACATGGTACAGCTGTGTGTGTGTGTACCACCAACACGGTACAGCTGTGTGTGTGTGTGTGTGTGTGTGTACCACCAACATGGTACAGCTGTGTGTGTGTACCACCAACATGGTACAGTTGTGTGTGTGTACCACCAACATGGTACAGCTGTGTGTGTGTGTACCACCAACATGGTACAGATGTGTGTGTGTACCACCAACATGGTACAGCTGTGTGTGTGTGTACCACCAACATGGTACAGCTGTGTGTGTGTACCACCAACACGGTACAGCTGGGTGTGTGTGCCACCAACATGGTACAGCTGTGTGTGTGTACCACCAACATGGTACAGCTGTGTGTGTGTACCACCAACATGGTACAGCTGTGTGTGTGTACCACCAACACGGTACAGCTGTGTGTGTGTACCACCAACACGGTACAGCTGTGTGTGTGTGTACCACCAACACGGTACAGCTGTGTGTGTACCACCAACATGGTACAGCTGTGTGTGTGTACCACCAACATGGTACAGCTGTGTGTGTGTACCACCAACACGGTACAGCTGTGTGTGTGTACCACCAACACGGTACAGCTGTGTGTGTGTGTGTACCACCAACACGGTACAGCTGTGTGTGTGTACCACCAACACGGTACAGCTGTGTGTGTGTACCACCAACACGGTACAGCTGTGTGTGTGTACCACCAACACGGTACAGCTGTGTGTGTGTGTACCACCAACACGGTACAGCTGTGTGTGTGTACCACCAACACGGTACAGCTGTGTGTGTGTGTGTACCACCAACACGGTACAGCTGTGTGTGTGTACCACCAACACGGTACAGCTGTGTGTGTGTGTGTACCACCAACACGGTACAGCTGTGTGTGTGTACCACCAACACGGTACAGCTGTGTGTGTGTGTGTACCACCAACACGGTACAGCTGTGTGTGTGTACCACCAACACGGTACAGCTGTGTGTGTGTGTACCACCAACACGGTACAGCTGTGTGTGTGTTCTATCCAATGTAGCTTAAAATATTTCCAATCACTTTGGATATCAAGTTGCTACCAGTCATGATTAGTGCACAAAGAAGATGGAGAATCATAATTTGATTTTTTTCGACATCGCACCAAGATATGTCATTTTCAGAGTCCTCTGGCTGAACTAGGAATTCAGATCCCAACCTAAATAAAAGTTACTCTTGTACAGAATAATCTGCTCTATCCAATGGTGTCATTCAAAACCAAATTGGGAATGACGCATATTGACATATTTTGCCTTGAAAATTGGCTAGTTTTGCACAAAAATTTTTTTGGCCAACTTTCAATTGGGGCACCTCTGGATATATGGATGCAACAGAGTTGCTATTGCATCACTGCATAATATTGTGCTTGT